CATGAGGCCCTGGGTTCAATTCCTCAGCACCACATAAGCAAAAATAAAAAAGCCGGAAGTGGCGTTGTGGCTCAATTGGTAGAGCACTGGCCTTGAGCTGAAGAGCTGAGGGACAGCGCTCAGGCCCAGAGTTCAGGCCCCATGACCAGACACCTCCCCCCCCAAAAAAAAAACGAAGAAGAAGAAGCAAAAACTGCAGGCAGCTTGTTCTTGAGGTCTCATTTCTATAACTTCAAGAAAATGTATTTTTCTCACCGTCTGTTTTGGTATGACAGCCATAGGAAAGTAAATATACTTAAGAGCACTGTCGTACTGCATCATAGTGTATAGGTACTTTTTAAGGGAATAGTTCCATATATAAGCTTGATCTTTTATACATTTAAAGATATTGGTGATATTATAGATTTGAACTTAGAGCATGATACATACAAGGCAAGTACTATAGCAATTACATATTTGATCTGTAGCCCCAGTTCTTGTACTTTTGTTTTTAATACATGCATGTATGTAAATATTGAATCTTCATTTATGTGAGTTACCTATAGTCTATTGTCTTTGTTGTTGTTGTTGTTAGTCATGGGGCTTAAATGCTGGGCTTGGGTGCTGTCCCTGCATTTTTCAGCTCAAGGCTAGCATTCTACCACTTGAGCCACAGCACCACTTCCAGTTTTCTGGTGTTTAATTGGAGATAAGAGTTTCCTGGAGGGCTGGGAAGGTGGCTCAGTGGTAGAGCACTTGCTTCGCATGCATGAGGCCCTGGGTTCCATTCCTCAGCACCACATAAGCAAAATGAAAAGAGCCGGAAGTGGCACTGTGGCTCAAGTGGTAGAGCACTAGCCTTGAGCTGAAGAGCTGAGGGACAGCTCCCAGGCCCAGAGTTCAGGACCCACAACCGAACCCAAAAAAAAAAAAAGTTTCGTGGACTTTCTTGCCGGGGCTGACTTTGAACCATGATCCTCAGATTTCAGCCTTCTGAGTAGCTAGGATTACAGGCATGAGCCACCAGCACCTGGCTCTATTGTCATTTTTACTTGAAGCCATCATTTAAAAAATTACATAAAACAAATATATATGTACCTGTGTATGTGTATGTTTGGATGTGTGTGTATGTGTGTAGATGTTCTTTTATACTTACTGACAGATCTGGTCCTGGTCCCATCAGTATGTCTAAGTTTGCACCTTTTGTCATTTTCTAAGCAGGACAATTTCGTGTAGCACTCTGGGAGTGCAAGTATACTGCTGATCTTTATCTGAAAATATGTTCAACCTACATTATTAGAATAGCTCCTCTGGGCAGAAGATTGTGAATTGAAGGTTGTGTTCTGTGAACCCTTTACAGATATATTTCCTTTCTGTGTGTTTTGGGTCAGCATTTATTTCTAATGTTGCTAAACATAGCAAAAGTAGAAAGAGGGTTGGACATTCTTTCTTTGTAGTGAGACTCAGCATGGGAATAAAACTCTCCTTGTGCCCTGTGCACAACATATTAGTACCAAATTCTGTTGCATCCTCCTTTATTTTCTTCCAAAATTTTTTGATCAATTCCCCAATTTTACTTTTTTTTTTTTTTTTCTCTGCTGTGGGTAGTCATGTCTCACACTGCTTTCTTATATTCTGCTTTTTATTTCTTTCCATATCTCTTCCATCCTTCCAAGAGGAACTAGTAATGCATATATGGTCAAGGCACATTTTATTCCCTCTCATTTATGTTCTGTATTATAGATGGTGGGTAATGCAACCAGTTATTTAGTATTTAGCAATGACATATAAGGGAGGCCTCAAAACATCTTTAGGGATATACTAACAACAATGAGCACATAAAACTTAAGTAAAATTTTCTATGTCCTAAATCATTAGTAATCAATTTCTTGATTGCTGTTACTTTCTTTAACATTTACCTGGACACTGTTTTTTTGATATGCTAATGCTTTCTTTAACATTTACCTGGACACTGTGTTTTTTTGATATGCTAATGTGGTATGCAACTCTTGTGATTGCCTGATGGAGCTCTGTATAGTTTAGATTCTAGGCATCTATTTGTAGTTGATGTCTTTAGTGCAGATCATTGGGTCCTGGAAGATAATTTTTACCTTATCTTCTCTTGCTAGCAACAAAAAACATTTCCTGATTGATAAGGGAAACTTTGCTTTAGTAATTCATAAGTTAGTATAGAGGTAGATATTTCTACTTGAACTTTACTTTTCCATACTGCATAGGTAACAGAGCAAGCTTGAACCATTTTATGCACGACAGAAACATACATGTAAAGGAATGAAATCCTCAGAGTTGGTTTTCTCATGACTCAGGGTTAATGACTTTTTGAAATGTGCTGTTTCAGGGGTTCGTATCCTTTGAGGATGTGTCTATGGACTTCAGCTGAGCCACCTTCCCAGCCCCTGTGGTGTACTTCTTAATCAAACTCCTCTTTAAAAACCTAACACTGTGGGGCTGGGAAGGTGGCTCAGTGGTAGAACACTTGACTTGCATGCATGAGGCCCTTGGTTCGATTCCTCAGCACCACATGAGCCGGAAGTGGTGCTGTGGTGCAAGTGGTATGGTGCAAGTGGTAGATCGCTAGCCTTGAGCTGAGGAGCTGAGGGACAGTGCCCAGGCCTAGAGTTCAGGCCCCACGACCTGACCCCCCCCCCAAAAAAAAACAACTAACACTGGGGGGGGAGGAGGGGGAGATGGGTAGGGACGGGAAGGGGAAACAATGGAGGAGGAAACAATGCTTGATAATGAAAGACCCCAGCCCGTGCTTACCTATTAGGTACCCCAAGAAAAGCTGCTGCCCCTCACCCTACATATCTAAGAGAGTGGGGCAGGATACGTGCAGGCCGCTAACCAGGAAACAAAACCTCGGGCCTCTGAGTCACCGCCTGCAGACCCTAGCATGACCCTAGTACATGCCTTAAAACCAGGCATTCCGGTAAAATAGCCGACCAGCACATTCCTTCCTGTGAAACTTAGCCCTAATACTAGGGTGAGGCAGGATGTGATAAATCACTTGTCAAAACTAGGGAACAAACAGTTTCGGTGCATAACGACCAGCACAGACATGTCAGGGCAAGTACTGACACGTCAGCCTTCCACCCCCCCCTCCCCCCCCCCCCCCCCCCCCGGCCTCGCCTACCCCATCCTGACCAATCCCCACCTTAAGCGTAATTCAAAAATAACCAACCAATACCCTGTAACCATGCATCTCGCTTCTGTAACCTTGCTTCTGCTGCCCATAAAAGAGGATGCTTTCATGCATCAAGGCGCGCAAGTCTCCCGATAGACTTTGTCGCCCCGGGTACCCGTGTAACCGGTTCCCAGACACCCGACCCGAACCTCGAGGACGAGTGCACCTGGGAGCCTAGGCATGCCCGAATAAACCTCTTGCTGTTTGCATCCGCACAAGTGGTCTCGTTGTTCCTTGGGGAAGGGTCTCTTCAGATTGAAGGACACCCCACCGACGGGGGTCTTTCAATAAAATTTGTACTCATTATCTTGCCCATGTAATTGTAACTCCTCTATACAGTATTTTCACAATAATAATAATAATAATGAAAGATTAAAAATTAGAGTTACATTTTACAATGGCTAACTGCTGGTTTTGCTTCTGTAAACTTGGTTGTGCTAGCACTGACCCTTCCCCTCCCTGGAAATAAAAAGTTTCGGAGTCTAGATGTCTGCCCTGGGACAAGCTCTGTAGTCGTAAATAAAGAACTAACAAGTAAATTCCCCAAGTGGCCAAATGGGACCCAAGGAACAAAGAGTATGTTCCTCTGCATTCCCGTGTAAAAATTCTCGGTTTAGGGGGCTCAAGATAAGGACCATCCGGTGAGCCCAGCAAACTAGGCCAAATGTTAATCAATCACAAGCCTGTAACTATGTAAACTCCCCTCCAGGGTGACCACTCCCCCTAGACTTGCCCTGAGCCAACTGTTTTACAAAGAGTGTTATAAACTTCCCGTGCAGGCTGGAGTATATGATAATTTTTAAGCTGAGCCAATCCTGGGGAGCCTGGGGTCTTATGCTAATCCTGTGGTTTTTGTTTTTAAAAGTGCCTGTAACTGCTTGGGGCTTCCTGTCTGCCCTGGACAGAGAGCCCGTTTGCGCAAACGTCAAATAAACTCCTCTTGCTTATTGCAGCTGCTGGCTTGAAGTCTTGGTTCTTGGGGTGCCCTCCCGTTGAAGGAAGCATCCCAGTGAGTCTGGGGTCTTTCAATAAAACCCTAACACTTATCTTTCTTCACCCTTACCTCCTCATGCATGTTCTTTCCTTGCCTAAAACCTTACAATCCATTAATCAGTTTAGTGGTTGAGAACAATTGTTTTAAGTGAAATGGGTTGTTTTTAAGGAGAGCAAAAACTGACTCCATCTTTAAGGCACTAAGAGCTGAGAATTAAAATAATGGTTTCAAGGGGCTGGGTAGGTGGCCCAGTGGTAGAGTGCTTGCCTTAAATGCCTGAAGGCCCTGGGTTTGATTCCTCAGCATCACATAAGAAAAAAGCCGGAAGTGGCACTTGTGGCTCAAGTGGTGAAAGAGTAAAAATTAGAGTTACATTTTATAATTGCTAACTGCTGATTTTGCTTCTGTAAACTGGCTTATGCTAGCACTGACCCTTCCCCTCCCTAAAAATAAGTAAAAAGTTTCAGAGTCCAGATGCCGGCCCAGGACAAGGTCTGTGGTTAAAGATAAAGAACAAAAGAATATGTTTTTCTAAGTTCTTGTTTGAAAATTCCCCAAATGGGACCCAAGATAAGGACCATCTGGCGAGTCCAGCAAACTAGGTCAAACGTCAACCAATCACAAGCCTGTAACTATGTGAACTCCCCTCCAGGGTGACCGCTCCCCCTAAGATTTGCCCTGAGCCAACCATTTTACGAAGAGTGTTACAAAGTTTCCTGCGTAGCAAAATGATTGCTGGAGTACACAGTGACTTGTAGATGGACCAATCCCGGGGCACCTGGTGTCATATGCTAATCCTGTGGGTTTTTTTTTTTTTTTAAGATTGAATGGATTATATTGGCAAAGAATGTAGCAAAACATCCAGAACACAGTGAATACCCACAGGTCTTGGCTCTCTTCCTTTCCCTCCCCTGCACCAGCTGCCTCTGCTCAGTGGACCATGAAAAGCCTGTGACAATGTCGCCAACTCAAAGATGAAGGCAGGGCTGGTGGATCCCTGCTGAATGCCACAAGCCTCTCACTGGATGGATCTTTATCCTGAAGGGCCAGGACACCATTATTTGTGTGTCCCAGTCTTTGTCCTGAGTTAAGCCAGAAGAGGGACTATGTGATTCTTCTGTCAGCCTCTAGAGGGTGCTAGTCCTGTCCATCCTCTGCCATGAGAAGGTCCATGTCACCAACATCACTCACTCACTCCTGGCTTAGAAGGCTTGCCCACAGGACAGGAAAGAGGACATGGCTCCATTGTTTGGGGGAACAAGTAGTGATGTCTTACATGGCATGGATGGCCCAAGTCTTTGCAGTTACTGGAGAGCAGTAATCTGGCCAAAGGTTCCCAGAAGGCTCAAGTTTCCATACACAGCTCCGATCTCCATGCACAGGTCCTTGGAGACTTCCTAAGGCATAGTCCCTTCGAGGAACACTAGGAGGAGCTTTGACTTTTAGCTTTTTGATTTTGTCCATGATGCCACCTTCGTTGTTCTTAATATCATGGACTATCTTTTGAAGTTGCGTTGGTATTCAGGTAAGGGGTTGGTTTATTCATTGTTGTGGCTGGCACCAGGCCATCTTGGTCCTCCACGCGGTGGGGAAAGGCCTGGGAAAGAGAGCTGGGAGAGCTGGGAAAGAGAGAGCTGGGAAAGAGAGAGAAGAGCTAGAAAAGAACAGAGAGAGCGCAGAGAGAGCTAGAAAAGAGCAGAGAGAGAGCAGAGAGAGCTAGAAAAGAGCAGAGATAATCCTGTGGTTTTTGTCTTTAAAAATACCTGTAACCGCTGCTCAGGGCTCTCTCCTGAACCGGGGTAGAGAGTCTGTTTGCACAAACGCTGAATAAACTCCTCTTGCTTGTTGCATCTACTGGTTTGGAATCTTGTTTTTTGGGGCGCCCTCCCGTAGACAAAAGTATCCCAGTGAGTCTGGGGTCTTTCAGTGGTAGAGCGCTAGCCTTGAACTTCATGAAGAGCTGAGGGACAGGGCCCAGGCCCAGAGTTCAGGCCCCATGACCGGACCCCCCCCCCCCCAAAAAAAAAAAACTGGTTTCTCACAAGCACCTCAGGATCAGGAAAGATGCTGTGTCTGTTGAGACTCTGGGAAATATGAGACGCTGGGAAAACTGTTTGGAAAGGCCCTCTGCTTATTGTGATAAGATTGTGTAATCTGCTTGACCACCTGCCTTGGGAAATGTGGGAGGTTAACTACAGGAAAACAGCCCAGCCACTACCTTTGCCCTTCCAGGAAGAAGCAGCCTTATCCCTGCCCCCACAAGTAAGAATATCTGCCTGCTTTGTGTGGGGACTGGCAAATTCACACACCAATTTAAACCACATGATAGGTTAGTTCAAACAGTTACTATGAGGCAGACTGTAACTCCACTGGCCACTATGCAATCTTTCTGCATGTGGCCAGGCTTGACCACGTGGTTTTTGGCCCTTAAAAACCCAAGTTTAGTCTGTGCTGCGTCCCTGGCCAGTCAGCTATCCACTTCCCCAATAAATTCATCTTTTTGCATGAGACTGTCTCTGCATAGTGGACTCTGGTGGTATGTGGAATCCCCTCCCCCAGACCCGGTAACAGTTACCATTAGAAAATTTAAGGCAAACGGAGACACAACTGTCACACTTCAGAACATACTGTTAGTGAAATGGGTCCCTTCCCATAGCTTAGTCCACTCCTTCCCTTCTCCACAGCTTAGCATGCTCCCTTCCTAGGCAACACCAGGCCCATGTAGTAAAGGCAGTAAATAATCATCTTCCAACCCCCTTTACCTTGGCATGGCACTTCTCTGGGGCAGCTACCACCATATAAGGCAACAAGAGCCCCTTAGAGTGACCTTCAGATCTTGGCAGTTGCAGGACCCTTATCTACCACTTGGATGGCAGCCATAAATCCTAGTCCGACATGATGAATGAAGCCCCTGGCCCACACCAGAGCCTTGGCCTGCTAGCCGTTTGTAGCCCTTCCTAAACCTCCTAGGTTATATAGGTCATCCCAGACAATAGCCTGTGTTTCTTATGAAAGACCCTAGTATATGTTCTGCCACTAGGTCCCCCAGAGAACTTGCTGACCAACCCCCCCTTCCGCAAAACTAAGCCTCCACCAAAGAGGGCGAGGCAGGATGTTGTGGTTAAACCATTAAACCGGGAATAGGGAACAAAAAGTCTCTGAGTTAACAATTAAAGGGCGAATACAGACACGCTAACTCAACTGCCTGTGGAAAGCCCCACCGCTAACCCCTAAGTGGACCTTGCCTAACCCGTTCGCCTGACTCAACCCTACCAATCCCCACCCTAAACATGACTCAAAATTAGCCAATCAACACCCTGTAACCATGCATCTCGCTTCTGTAACCCTGCTTCCAGCTGCCCATAAAAGAGGGTGCTCTCATGTGCCCCGCGCGCAAGTCTCCCCATAGACTTTGTCGCCCCGGGTACCCGTGTATCCAAACAGGCCCCCAGCCACTGACCCGAACCTTGTGGATCTCGAGGTCGTGTGCACTGGGGAGCCTAGGCATGCCCGAATAAACCGCTTGCTGTTTGCATCCGCTCAAGTGGTCTCGTCGTTCCTTGGGAAAGGGTCTCTCTAGATTGAAAGGCACCCCACCCGGTCTGGGGGTCTTTCACTTATTCCTCCCTCATGAAAATGAGTCTTGCTGGCTTCCCTCTCCTGGCAATAAGCCTTGGCAATAAACCTTTCTTTGTTCTCTGTACGTGGATATCTGTGTGGTTCTCTGGCAAAGTCTATTAATCTTAATTTTGCTAACACATACTGTTAGGAAAAAGAAGATATGGAAATATTGCCTCCATTACCTTAATACAACTAGATACTTAAATAAATTAAATCTTAAATAATAAATTATTATTTAAGATTGAATATTATTATTTAAAATTATTATTATTTAAGATTATTTTGTGCTGTGCCCACATTTGAATTTGTATTTGGTCTCACAACATCGCAGGGGAAAACCAGGATTTCCAGAAAGTACTTCCTCTCACCTGGCTCAGCTGGTAGAGTTAGGTCCTCAGCCAGCCCACAGAAAGCTAAGACATTAAATCTAACTCTGGGTAACAACTCTAAACGTCTGCTTCCACTAGTGTAGCGCAAAGCATAGTGGGAAATGTAGTCTTCCCCAGGCGCAGACCCATTGGCAGGGCTCTTTCAGGCTCCTCCCATGCATGCGTCTCCCCGCCCACTCACGGCGTTTTCTGCTCAGGAATTCCGGTTTCTGGCGCTGAGCCAAGCTCCTGGGAAGTTTCTGGAGTGAAGTTCAGTGTTCTGAGTGCCGGAGCCGGGGTGACAAGAGGCCCTGCGGTGCCTGGCGAACCTGGGGACCTGAAATGTGAGTGGATGGCAGGCAGGCAGGAAAACGGGCTGCAGGCGGCAGCTGGAGCGGGGCGGGTAGCCTGGAGGCTCCACGCACTGCCGGGTCCCTCCGGTCTGGGTGACTGTGCCTGGGGTCGTGATTGCTTTGTCAGAATCGGTTCTGCCAGAGTCAGTGTCCTTCCAGGTGCCGGAACCTAGCTGGCTCGGGAAGGCTCGCGGGCAGGCTAGAAGGTTGTCCAGACTAGGAGAGCTGGGGAGGCCTGCGCTTCTGTTCCACGCCTGATTCTGCTGTGAGCTAGTGTGATGACATCATTTGTCCAGCTGAACGATGGACGAGTCACAATTCTAGTGAGGTTGTGAAGGGTGTGCTGGCCGAGTCATGTGCTATGGCAGTTGTGTTGGTGGGGTTCTGTGTTGTTTCTTGTGGGGACATTTCTAGTCCCCTTCTGGGCGCTGTAGCCTCTTAGCACTCCTGGCTCCAGTTCACACATGTTTGTACACGACTGGCTGATGGACCTGTATTCCTTGGAATTAAGTAAGCGTGGCAGATTCGAAGGAGGGCAGATTCTGAACAGGAGTGTGCATCCTGAAAGAACACTGTCCTTGTGAACTGTCACTAGCCCTAAAGAGCAGAGGCAGAGAAGCACTAGAACGGGAAGATCTGGTTAGCGTCCCTTTCCCTAGCAATGATTGATTCGACTTTCCAGAGCACAAGATTCACCTGGTACAACTTTCTCCAAAGCTTCCAAGCACTCTCCAATGTTGAGAGAAGTGAGCTAGACTGAGGAATGAACCAGAGCTGAATTATCAGAGGGTTAGGAGCTGTGGTTTATAGTACAGAGATATGTTCTCACACCTGGAAGATCTGCCTCTACAAGAAAGCTAATCCCCTTCTCTTTCACTCAGTCTAACCTCACTGTCTGTCTCTCAAACTTATCCTATTATTAAATGCGGCATCTAGTGGTACTAGTTCTTTCTTTTACCTGATGCTTTTTCTGGCAATTCAGGAAATGTGTGCTAGGCACCTTATGCTTTAAAACAAACATGACAAAACACAACTTAAGTGATGTACCTTGCTCAAGGTTGTATGGTTTGTAGGTTAATTATCCTAAAGGTTTAGCTAGTGTTGGCCATTATGTTACAATCTACCAAAAGTAGTATTGTTTCACTTTGGAAATTTTTGTGGGGACAGGGGTGAGGGAAGTGAATGAAGTCAATGTCACACAAACATTGCTTGAAAATATTTCACTTGAAAGATTCTGCTCCTTTTCATATCCTCAGCATTTCCTGTGGCTTTTGTGACTGAAAAATATTACTAATATGGATATATTGCACTTTTAATATGTTCTTGAAATATTACATATTCTTCAGTACAATAATGAACTTATTTTACATTACTTAAAATAGAGTGGACTGCATATACTTTTGTCCTAACCCTGATTCCCTCCCTCTTGTTTTTTTTTCTTTTTGTCTTTTGCCAGTGGTGAGGCTTGAACTTGGCCTGGGCACTGTTCCTAAGTTCCTGAACTCAAGGCAAGTGCTCTACCACTTGAGCCACAGCACCACCTCCACTTTTCTGGTGGTTAATTGGAGATAACATTTGTAGGCAGAAATTCCATAATATGATTTTTTTTTTTTTGCTCTAGGGATGTCCAAAAGGAAAACAAAAAGAAAAAGTTCTCATGAAATATATGAAAATTTCATTCCCATAAATTGAGATATTCAGCCTATAACAAATTTATTTTATTTTATTTTTTTATTTTTTTTTGGGGGGGGGGGGGTCCGGTTGTGGGGCCTGAACTCGGCCTGGGCGCTGTCCCTCAGCTCTTCAGCTCAAGGCTAGCGCTCTACCACTTGAGCCACAGCACCACTTCTGGCTTTTTTCACTTTGCTTATGTGGTGCTGAGGAATCGAACCCAGGGCCTCAGGCATGCAAGGCAAGTGCTCTACCACTGAGCCACCTTCCCAGCCCCCTATTTTATGTTTTTTAAAGTAAAAAACAAACTATTGTAATGCAGAAAAAGTTAAAACTAGAATTCATACATTGCCCTTTAATGATTCACTTGGTCTTGAGAAGGCTGGCCTGGCCAAAGTGCAACCATATTGGATATTAAGGCCATTTTGTAAAAAAGGCTTTTACTGACACGAGTTCAGGTTCCTAGAAAAATGGCAGGACCAAAACCGCTCTACTGGTAACTCCCTAGCAACAGTCAATCAGTAACTAGCAGGAAAGTAAAACTCCAGATTTTTAAGATAGCATAGTTAACATATTTT